TCGATCATGTGGTACATGATGATTGATAACTGGGTAATTCTGGTGCTTCATATATATTTTTTTTAATTAAAACACCTAAAATGAGTGGTGATGTCCAACCCAACTGACTGTGTTGGATAATCCAGGTTCTCGGTGTAAGTTTTGCCTTTGGAAAATTATGTTAATTCTTGTTCTTTTCAATGAGTGCATGCTTTGCGGTTGGCTTGTTGGACTTAGCAATACTTATTGCTTGATGGAATTGTTTCTTTAAAAACATTCTTCATCTTCATGTTGTAACAACTCTCTGCATAACTTCGTTTCTTTTATGGGATATTCATATATGATTGGAAGTTTCATTGTACAATATTTAGATAAGCGATTGGTTTAATCTTGCAGTTATCAAGAGGCAATTGAGGATATTACCAAAAGAATGGGTGCAGGAATGGCAAAATTTATCTTGAAGGAGGTATGTGATGCATGATATATGTTGTAGGAAGAAAGAGTGGATTTGCTCTATTGTTTCATGTTTCTCATGCTTCAATTAAAATAAACTCCTTTCAAAACCTTTCTGACATTGTTTGCATTGTTTATTGACATATATTTATGATAGTTGTGAAATATATTCCAATTTTTTCACATATTCACAAATATGTATATAATCATTTTGATCTGTATTTGTAAATGCTATTATGGATGTTTGTGGATGTGTAGTTATTTTGAATGCTAATTGAAAGAAAATAAAGATTAAAAGTAGATCAACCATAGAAAGAATTTTAGCATCTGTTTTAAACTAGGATTTTGTTAAGTAATTTAAGAGTTAAAAACTTAAAACTAAAGAAAAAAATGTGTTCTGCAGTCAACTAGTTTCCACAATTTATAAGTGTCTATGGACCATAATTTGTGCATATAAGCAGGCACATTAGCTTACTTAATGTTTTTACACTATGGGAAATCAGATTCTGCAACGAAGTTGTTAAGCATAAATAAAATTTGAATTATTCTTCATTGGATGATTTCCGTTTACAATATTCCAAGTCTTATTATCAGTGTGCGTTTTGCACTATGTGCAGAAAGGAGAGACGTATTTCTTATGCGACTTGGATGTATTTTGCCTCATCTTGCAGGTAGAAACCATTGATGACTATGATGAATACTGCCACTATGTGGCAGGACTTGTTGGTTTAGGTTTGTCCAAGCTCTTCCATGCTGCTGGAAAGGAAGATTTGGCCTCAGACTCTCTCTCAAATTCAATGGGCTTATTTCTTCAGGTATAACAATAATATTAAGGCTAGAAATGCTATCTGTTCTCAGTATCAAATGTGATTCATGGCTTGATTCTGATTCTACAATGTCTGGATCTGATAAACAACAGAAAACAAACATCATTCGGGATTATTTGGAGGATATTAATGAGATACCAAAGTCACGCATGTTTTGGCCACGTCAAATCTGGAGTAAATATGTCAATAAACTTGAGGTGTTTCTTCTTTACTTGTATAATTGTAACAGCTTCCTATGCTATTCCTACCAGTTCACCTTCTTAGTCACTTATTTTCTTTCTAGTCTAGTGGAGACCTATGGTAGTGGGGTGGTGATGTAAGGATTTATGCATCACCACACAGTTGGAATTTTGTCTGAATAAATTTTTTTGATATTGCAACACAGGACTTGAAATATGAGGAAAACTCAGAGAAGGCAGTGCAATGCTTGAACGACATGGTAACTAATGCTTTGATACATATGGAAGATTGCTTGAAGTACATGGCTGCATTGAGAGATCCTGCTATATTCAAATTTTGTGCCATCCCTCAGGTAGATTATTCCTCAACTTTATCACAAAAGTTAGTCTTTTGTGGTGTGTGTCATAATCTGACATGTGTATTTTATGGATTTATAGAACAAATACAAACATTGTTAGGATGAATTGAGTGATTTTAACAGTATTTTCAAATGTACTATGGTGTAATCTTGATATTCATTGTTGGCTGCCCATAAGAGAAGTTTACACTGTTAGACCATCAGGATTGATTAGTTGCTTCCAAAATGACCCTCTTGTCCCATGTACAAGTCATAAGAGATCCTATTGACTTTTAACTTGATTGGAAGTTGGACCAGTGGAATGAAATTGATCCAAGTGCTTCCAAAATATCTTGGCTCAACAGTATCTCTGGATGTGCTTTTGTTTCCTCCTTGATGGTCTAGATCTGGATTGTTTTTATTTTCAATCCTTTGGAATTCCCATTGGAACTCTTCATTTGATCAGGAACTCTTCAGATTGTGTTTATCTTTCCCTTTCAGCAAAATTCAACATAACGTTTTGTGACTTCATAGTCTGCTGTTTAATTATTCAATCAAGATCATCTTCAAGTAATCTCATTTGATTTGTGCTGCCTTTACTAGATCATGGCAATTGGCACCCTAGCATTGTGCTACAACAACATTGAGGTCTTCAGAGGTGTAGTCAAAATGAGGCGAGGTAAGATTTTAATCTATGAACACGGTATTCCTTTCAGTTATAACCGACACATTTTGATATAATCAAAACAAAAATAATCGCATCTTGTATTTAATAAAGAATAGCTTTGTCAAAAACGGTGGTATGCATGTGCCATGGGATGGTCATTTGGTAGATACATCTATAGGAATTCCACAAATCCTAGCAAGATTGTTTTCTTAGTATAGTGATTTTATCGGAGATTTTGGAAGCTTACGCTGTTGGAGACTACTCTATAGACTAGCATGTTATAGTAACTACAAGTATTTTTATATATTTACTAGGGAAATGCTCTATGAAATCACGTCATGATAAAAATTATTTGTTAGAAAAATGAAAGTACTGCGACTACTGGTTGATTATGCCTTCCACCTCTGAGCCCTTCATGCACTACTGGTGAATTATTTGAATTCCTCTCTCATTCTATTGGGGTTTGCGATGGTTTGGATAGAATACTTGTCATGTTGTGTAGTTTTGGTCACATGATTTGTCATAACTCTTTACTGAAAGTATTCAATTCTTTGCTGTTTTTTCTAGGTCTTACAGCAAAAGTTATTGACCGAACAAAATCAATTGATGATGTCTATGGTGCTTTCTTTGATTTTGCTTCCGTTATAAAGTCCAAGGTAAGATGCTTCAAGAAACTAGATATGTATTATCTCGTAGCAAGATAGCTTTACTGCATACTAAACTGTAGTGAGAGTTGGGTTTGATGAACCCAACCAACCCAGATTTGACGAGTTTTGGGCAACCTGGGAATTTGATAAGTTGAGTAAACATATTTATACATATATCTTTAGGGGTACTGTTATTGGCACTCCAAAAATGTCGTTGTGCACTCCAAGCTTTCTTTATTTAGAAAGAAAAATACAAGTATGAGGACTGCCCAATGAGTTTTTTGGAGTGCCAATGGCAGCACTCATCTTTAACCTGAATTAAAAGTTAAGCAAACACGGTAAATAATTTTTAACCCAAGCAGGCCTAGGAATTATGATATGAATGTATTTTAGGAAAATGTTCTCTTGTCAGACTATCTTGTGTAGACTATGAATCTGGACCATTGATCTGGTTGGCTGAATGTCTTGTCCATATCAGAGTCTGACAATATAAGCTCTCTCTAGCAATAGAAGTCTGGCAGGGGAACATTACCCGTAGTTTGTGTGTGTGTGTGTGTGTGTGTATTCCTATCAACTCTATAAATTGGGTAAATATGATTTGACTTCTAGCCCGCCCAACCCTGACTATTTGCACTTTTAGAATAAACTCCTTTGGATGCGCCAGTTTGTCTAGTTTTCCCAGTATGGATTTATCTATGGTTTTCTAAACCAATCAGATTATTCAAAACATTAAAGATTTAATATTGGCTGCAGGTTGACAAGAATGATCTTCATGCAACAAAAACATTGAGCAGAGTGGAAGCGGTACAGAAATTATGTAGAGACTCTGGAGCTCTGAGCAAAAGGTACGCATTTCATAGTTTCTAGTTCTTCTTCCTGATTATTGAACATTCATATTTAGTTATTTACTGATTATCTGACAAGTATCTATGGACCACACCAGGAAATCTTACATCATCAACAACGAACAAAATTCAACTCTGGTGAGTTTAATCTTAGATTAAAAGAAAAACTCAACTAGAATCATTGTAGAATTTACATACTGATCAGTCTACATTCTGAATGCAGATTGTGGCGTTGTTTATTATATTGGCGATCATTTACGCTTATCTCTCTGCTAGCCCAAGAATCTAATGTAAGTGTCGTCGAGCTGAACAATCGAGAACTGATTTCATAGTCTTAATTTCTTTTAGCAAGCAAAACCACTACCTCTAATCCCTTACACCAATTTTCTTCTTGTTGTGCAGGGTTTGCATTTCTTATATATTCTTCAACATAAATGGCTGGTTACAAAAGTACATGCCTCGTTGACTACATTAGTTTCTTGTATTTGTATGCAATAACGGCACTGCTGCTGCCGCCGCCGTTGTATACTCAGTATGAAGTTGCCCTAAATTATTGCCGTAGCTTTTGACGCCGTTTAAGCATAGTTACCGTTGCCAACCAATTGAGCCTGTGTTTTCTCTTCTCTGGAGTTCATATGTGATTGTTCTACTTAAGAAAAAGTACCTTGTTTATATGAAAGTAATGTAGTATTTTATGCGTGCATACAATAATGGCAATGCTTATATGGTATTATGTCTGATTTGTCCAAAATTAAATCCATAGATATATACCTGGTAATTTCTTGCACGACTTGTTAACTTGACATGAAACGACACAAAATAACATGTTTTGGAGCATCACTTTGTCGTCATCATTTGTGGTTCGAATCTTACAAACTGGTAGGTTGTCTATTCAATTAAGATTTCCTCCATCAAGTGCATGAGTCCTTCATATTCAACTATTTTGAGAAGGGGTGTGATATCCACACTCCTTTTTACTTCTTCCACACTTTTTTAGTTTTCAGTCGTCGGATCGGATGAATTAAAGAAGATCAACGGATATAAATTAACAAGGGGTGTGTGATAAGTAAAAAGAGGGGTGTGCTATGAGAAATGTAACGGCGAAATGATTCAAGCACTCTAAAAAAGATACAGGTCTCAATCGCTTCCAACCCACCAACTATAGCACTTGGCAGGAGGAAGCATCTATATCAGTTTTTGAATCGTCATACAATCACATATCACTTCGGCAACGCAAATTCAACCAAAAACACAAATTTAACTCCAAATCTTCAATGTCATGTCACTAATCAATCATTTACAACTGTATAATTTTTCAATTTTTTATACAAAGAAAATTGAACTAAGCAAATACAAAGGATTAGAGACCAAGAACGAGAAAATATCAATGAAAAGCCTCACATACTCTCTTCTCTGCCCCTTTAACCACTGCATGCAGCTCCACTTTCATCCCTCACTCACTGAAAATAATAGAAATCAAAGTCACTCAATGATGAAAATCCCTCAAAATAGACCACACATATAATTAGTATAGGCAGACTATTTTTAACGGAAACTTAAAAAAAAAAAAAAAAAAAAGGAATCAACTAGAGGAAAAGATGATATTTTTTTGGTCAAAAGAGGAAAACATGAGCAAATCCTTGCAAGCAGATATGATAAAATCTAATAATTTCAATGGAGAGAGAGTCATTATTCCTAGCACCATTTGATAAAATCCTAATCATTATTGCTTATAACCAGGTTAATACATGATGTAGAAGCAACCTTAGATATATATCTCATGGAGGCCTTTAAAGCCCACACCACATCGAACTTTAACGATCTAAATCATCTATTTTTTAAGTTGCACCTTGTATATCACCCTTGCAAAATATTTGCCAAATCAGAAATATTTGAGGTATCTAATTGAGTTTAAAGAAATCGACGAGCACTGTATTATAAGAAAACATTGAAATTTCATCTTGGTAATTAAATAGACAAATGATTTCGGATTGAATTGAATTTTTGCAAGGATGATTTATAAATCAAGACTTACAAAATAGACAGTTTTGATCGTTAAAATTTGGTGTGAAATGAATCCCACAACTAATCCCCATGTTTTGAATAAAATGGAAATCCCTTTCCGAAAAGGCATGTATATCTCATTACCTATTAATATGTATCCAACCTTTATCCATCTATATAGATATATCTCATATGCATGCAACATTCAATTTCACAATATAAACTGAAACAAAAGAGAGAGAGAGAGAGAGCAGTAAATTCAATAGTGGGTAAAAAGGATTATAAACACAACTGACCGCATGTATTTTATGTGGGTGTAATTGGCACAAAACGAACAAGTGAGTCGGACGCTTTTTAACATCCACCCACACCCTCATTGCAAGTGGTCCAATTGGCACAAAACGAACAAGAACGTTCGGACCACTTATGACCACCAACCTTCATCAATTAATTCTCCAGAACCCATCCAATCAAGCAATATGCACTTTTTATTTGACTTTGAGGACTATACGGAAAAACAAGAAAGCATTAATCTAAGTTACTAACCAAATTCACATTAGCAAGACAATAAATATAGCTCAAATTAGTAGCAAAAGAAACATGAAGGAACAATGTAAAAATTGAAACTTGCAACCAACCAGTTACAGGACGCCTAAAAAAATTTCTACTTTTGAGGTTATAAAGGTCTTTATGGATAACGTAATGGCTTAAAAGAATATTTACCGTAAATGTGAGGCATTCATGCACCCTCAAGCATTCATGCACTCTCTAAAAGACACAAGTCCTAAGATCAACTTCATCTCTAAAAAATACGCTGGTATACAGCCTATTTAATCCACTCAATGAACAATGATAGACCTCAATGAATAGTAATTAACCAAATGCATCTCCACTCCTAAAACTAAATAGCCTAGTCAATTTTATTAAAATATTATTAATTTTTATTATAAAATAAAATAATAATACTTTTATTTTTAATTTCTGACTTTATAAAAAATATTATTAATTTCTGACATTTTATTAATTTTTTTAAAGTTTTTTGGTCGAAAAATCTGGACCGTTGATCTGAAATTCGAACGGTCCTAATTGTGCCACGTCAGTAGCCATTAATTTTAAATTTAAATTTTTTTTTACCGTTGGAAATCCAACGGACACAGAGGCGCCACGTATCCCCATGCCAAAGCCCCATATTGTGCTTGCACAGTGGGCCCCACCTCTGCGACGCTATAGGCCGCTTGCAACCATGCGTGCATGTTTTCCACGCGCCTGGCGCAAAAAAAAAAGGATTTCAGGTGGTTGACGTCAACCTAGCGTCATGTGGGCCGGTCTCTAGCTTAGCATGTTTTGGCACGGCCTATGGACTGGCTTGGGCTGGGTGACAGCCTATTTGGATGGGCTGGAGGGTTTTTAAGGGGTGCCAACCTATTTTTCCAACTTTGGACAAGCCTATGTGCTTGGGGTGGAGTTGCTCTAATTGCTTCCAAATTTCCAATCCACCCACTATTGAATTCTTTATCAAACATTTATGTCCCATTAATGTAGGATGGGTTCAATTCCTTTCGGTTCGTTTTTTTACCGAAATCAAAAACCAAACCAAAGTTACTATTCAGTTCAATTCGGTTTTTCTTTCGCTTTGTTTTGGTTATGTTTTGACGGTTTGGTTTGATTTCAGTTTTGTTTATATATATATAAATTGTCACGCCTCGATCCCAATGGTTTAACGATCCACCATTAGCCCTCACATTTCATCACAACATGCCAATCAAACAAATCAAACCATATTTCAATATATACATGTCAAATCTCATTTCATAAACGTAAATCAATGGCTAAGCATTAAAAATAACAATTCAATAGAAAACATATTTATAAAACCAAGCCATATCCACACAGGATAACAATTACGAAAGCAGGGTAATCACCAATATCACATAAATTAAAATCACTCACTGAGATAAGCCGCAAAGCCTCACTAAGCCTCTATTAATACTAATTTTAACTTTATAAACAATTCGAGACATGCGTCAAACGAGAAGGACACGTCACCACAATGAGCCCATCAAGCTCCATGAAATCTCAACCACACTCTACGATAGCTGACACACTAGAAGAACTCGATCTAGTTGACTAAAGAGCCAATCGTCGATCAAGGTTGATAGTAGGGTCCACAACCCTATAAATCAAAACCAGAAGATCCGCCTATCGTATTTCTGATCCATAACTTCCCAAAATACACATTACACTTCTAGAACCACATACTAAAATTTCATTATCATCCAACGGACGGATCTCCACCAATTGCCAAATCAAGAGGCGGTCAACAATTAATTTTACTAACTTAGAAATCCAATTCGGGAAGATCCGTATATCGGATTTTCAATCCGTCAGTTCCAGCTGTCCTCAAATATTATGTTCTATAATGCATTTAATTTTGATAGCGATCCAACGGTCAAATCGTTGATTCAAATTTTGATCAAGTGATGTATCATAATGAAACTAAGTTCAAACAATCAAACCACTTCATACGGATTTCAATTATGAATTCAGGGCATCTAATTGGACTTAGAAAGACATCGTCGGTCCACTGGCCATGTCACACCCTGATCTCGACATACGTCCAGAATCGACACGTGACGTCACCGAATACCCGTATCTCTAACATACCTCGCCTCCGGAATAAGGCAAATCACAACTCAAGAATCGAATCGCATAGTAATTTTTTGTATACTTTATGACTACATCTAACCTCCTCATTAGACTGCCTACGTACCCTTATTAGGGATCAAGCCATTCGTAGATCATCTTTCGTCGAACCTTAAGCTTTTCGTAAAATACTTCTAGCAAAAATCATAGAGCATCACACTTTACACCAACCTTACGCCAAAAATATCATTATCACCTTATCATGCATGAAGGTAAGCCATTCTCATACATATGCTTTCCAATTCATACATCATATAAATCACTATGTTTCAAACAATACCGCAATTTATAGTATACAACATCTCAAATATAGTCGATGAAGCACAAAGTCATTCTCTAACCACATTGGTTAACAAGTCTAATCATAGTGACAACAATCACAACCAACATCATTCCACAATCACATCAATCAATATAACACATCATAGACCGAAATGCAGGGCTAGAGCAACACAGTTCGGCCCAAGCCTACATCTCTAAAGCTGTCTCGATCCAAACTCAATCAAACCCAAGGTGAAAATGATCCCGGACCATCTTTCAACGAAATCGCAAAGTATGAGGGATTCCGAACCATCTCTTAATAGAATCCAAGTGGATACGATTCTGGACCAGCACTCAACGGAATTGCGGAGCACAATGCATAACCACCACTAAGTGAAACCCAAGTTAGATACGATTCTGGAACATCACTCAACGAAATCCAAACAAGCATATGATTCCGGACTATCACTCAATGGAATCGCAGAATATAAGGGATTCTGGACCATCACTCAACGAAATTCAAGCAAGCATATGGTACCTACCAAATGTACTAGGTATATCTAAACCTCATCATCTCCATAAAGGTATGTCGTATTTCCCTTACCTAGATTCCTAAGCATTGCTTTTAGTTACTAACACAAGGATGCACCATCGTGGCCAAATTTTGTTTCACAAATGTAAGATACTACTAAATGCATGACTTGAATTTTAATCCTAATTAAAGTACTTTGGATTACTAATGTAACAGTATCCAAATTCAATGCCTTTTTTGGTTGATCTAAAACAATCGTTGTAAATACACATGAAGGAATAATTATAGATCATTAGTAATGATGTGTTTAACTCCGCCTATGTCTTACATGGCCGGTCCCAAGCCCGGATAAAGGAGGAGGGGGAGGGCGTCAGGTAGTCGACAGCCGGCACTCCATGATCACGTCGAATCCTTATGAAAATGAATCCAGAACAAAATCGCGCTAAAGCTAGGGCGTCACCCGTAAGTGGCGCTCTGTGTGGCCCAAGCACAGTGATAAGTGAGCAAGGGTCGCTGTATCTCCATCGGCACCCGGATGCAGTGTTAAATGAGCAAGGGGGCCATAGAAACTTCTTTTCGAACGACTCCACTCAAAGTTGTTTGGGAGCATATGCTCCTATCAACTTTACCCGGGACACACAAAAGAAGTACTTTGATCCTATTAGACGGGGGAGGGTGAAGAAGCTAGGACAGAAGGGTAGAGTTCAAGAGAGCAAAATGCGTTTAGGAACGTGGAATATAGGAACCTTAACGGGAAAATCTATGGAAGTAGTGGAAGTTATGGTGAGGAGAAGGATAAATATTATGTGCCTACAAGAAACTAAGTGGGTTGGTAGTAAGGCAAAGGATCTAGAAAACTCAGGGTTTAAACTTTGGTATTCGGGCACAAATAGAAACGAGAAACGGTGTTGGCATCATCGTGGACAAGACCTTGGTACAAGATGTTGTAGATGTCAAGAGGGTAGGAGATAGAATCATGGCAATCAAGATTGTAATAGGACAAGAACTTATCAATGTGATTAGTGCGTACGCACCTCAAGTAGGGTTGGATACGAGTTCGAAGGAGAAATTTTGGGAAGATCTTGGAGACTTGGTGCAAGGAATTGCTCAGACGGAGAAGTTATTTATAGGAGGAGATTTAAATGGACACGTGGGCAGGGAGACAGGCAACTATGGAGGTTTTCATGGTGGCCATGGTTTTGGGGAGAGAAAACGAGGATGGGGAAGCTATCTTGGATTTTGCAATGGCATATGATCTCTTCTTAGCCAACACCTTCTTTAAGAAGAGAGAAGAACATGTGATCACCTACAAGAGTGGGTCGTCAAAAACACAAATAGATTTTCTTCTAATGAGGAAAGGGGATCGTATAACTTGTAAGGATTGCAAAGTTATACCAGGAGAGAGCGTGGCTAATCAACATCGCTTGTTGGTGATGGATGTACATATCAAAAGAGTAAGACAAAAGAACAAGACTTGGAAGTGCCCAAGGACTAGATGGTGGAATCTAAAAGAAGAAAAACAAGTCCATTTTCAAAGAGAAGGTAATCACCCAATGTGTGTGGGATAGAGAGGGGGAAGCTAGCCAAATGTGGGATTCCATGGCTAGTTGTATCCGAAAAGTAGCAAAAGAGGTATTAGGAGAGTCCAAGGGCTTTGCCCCACACCAAAAGGAATCTTGGTGGTGGAATGAGGAGGTACAAACAAAGGTGAAGGCTAAGAAGGAATGTTGTAAAGCCTTATACAAGGAGAGGACCGATGAAAATGGTGAAAGGTATAGAAAAGCGAAGCAAGAGGCGAAGAAAGCTGTCAGAGAAGCTAAGTTAGCGGCTTACGACGATATGTATAAACGACTAGATACCAAAGAAGGAGAGTTGGATATCTATAAACTATCTAGAGCAAGGGAAAAGAAGACAAGGGACCTAAACCAAGTGAGGTGCATCAAGGATGAGGATGGAAAGGTTCTTGCTACAGAGAACGCGGTTAAAGACAGATGGAGAGGTTATTTTCA